GCGCGGCGAGGTCGAGTCCATCCAGGACCCCGAGTGGTGGGCCCAGGACTCGGTCATGGCCGTCATGGACCACGTCTGCGAGAAGATGGGCCGCAACTCGGGCATCAAGGCCGTCTTCGGCGGCTCCGTCAAGAAGCCGCTGATGACCAAGGTCTCGATGCGCCACCTCAACGAGATTGTCCGCGAGCGCAACCAGTACTCGCGCGATGCCCTCGAGGCCTGGCAGGACTTTATCAACCTCAAGGGCCGCATGGACACGGAGCTCGCCAAGGTCACCAAGCGCAACAACTACCTGGTCGAGGAGCTCGAGAGCTGGAAGCAGCAGTTCCTCAAGTTCCAGGCCTTTGCGGAGCAGCTCACCAAGGAGACCCAGGACCTCAAGATGAAGATTGAGAACCACAAGCGCGAGAACCGCCGCCTCAACGGTCTCATTGACCAGCAAAAGGACGACAACGCCCGCCTGTCGGTCCGCCTCACCGGCACCGAGAAGCAGCGCGACGACGCCCTCGAGGCGCTGGTGCTGCAGCAGGAGATTGCCGAGGAGCTCGAGCGCGAGCGCAAGCGCAACATCAAGGACCTGTCGGCCCTGCAGCACACCAACGTCACCCTGGCCCGCCAGCGCGACGAGGCCCGCCGCGTCGTGCTGCACCTGCGCAGCCTCATTGGCGGCCAGAGCCACCACATGGAGCACCTCATCGAGTCGCTCACCAAGCCCGACGAGATCATCGACGAGCTCGAGAGCGGCTTTGTCGAGGAGGACGAGGAGGCCGCCGCCGCCATGGCGCTGGAGGGCAGCACGCCCGAGGAGATTGAGGCCGCCCAGCGGCTCAAGGCGCAGGCGCGCGCCAGCAAGCGCTACTCATCCTCGAGCTTCAAGGACGTGGCCGACCGCCACCTCAAGGACAAGACGGACGCCATTGCCCACATCATCCGCAACATTGCGGAGCAGTGCCAGGCGGCCGTCGAGGGCCTGCAGCTGGCCCAGGACGCCGTCGAGTCGTCGTCCGACAGCGAGGCGCGCCAGCGCCGCACCGCCTCGGCCCAGCGCCTGCGCCGCACCAGCAACCTGTCTACGGCGACGACCCACAGCGACGACGGCCACTCGGCCTCGGCGTCGGACGTGGGCGACGACAGCCTCCTGCACCCGGCCTCGGGCCGCTCGTCGAGCATCCCGCCCACGCCGGACCTGATCCCCAACCGGGCCAGCACGTCCATGTCGATTGCCTCGACGGCCACCACGCCGGAGCGCTCGTCGCAGCAGTACGTCGTGGGCCACGACATCCCCACCAAGATTGTCGAGGACGAGGAGGACGAGTATGCCGAGCGCAGCGACGTCGAGACCATGCCCGACGCCGGCATTGTTGGCAAGCACGCCGAGAGCCTGATCCACCGCCCCTCGGGTGCGCGCATCAGCGCCCTGGGCGGCACGAGATGACTGAAAGATCGGCGCGGCTGGGGATGGTAGCTCTGATGCTGCCCCCTTCCTGACCCTACCCCTTTTGATATAGGGTAGGGGTACAAAAAAGAAACGGACAACACCGTTCGAGCCCGATCCCGTTCCTTCGTCTCACTTCGCTCCTTTGTCTATTCTGTCTATTTGTTGGGTTGCCGTTCCGACCCATCCTTGAGCACACTGGCGTTGATATCTCCTTGCTTTTACTTCTTTCTCTGTTTCCTTGTCTGTTTCGTTGTTGCTCTTGTCTTTGCACAACCCTCGATATCTCTTGTTGTAGTGTTTCCTCTGTTCCTTACCTCTTTTTCTTCTCGTCGTTCCTTATGATACATTATTTCCATCTTGCTGCTCTTCTGGAGAGTACTACCTGGGAAAGGAGTACCCCGCATGTTTATTCGTTTCTTCGTTTGTTCATTTGTTATTTTATTGTTCTCTGCACAACTGTTCGCAGTCAGCTCCTCTTTCTTATTTGTATTCTTTTGGGGTGCGTATTCGGACTCGAATGATAGTTTTCGGCTGTTGAAAAGACGATGTTTTTCAGGTGAAGACGGTGTGCACAGCCTTATAGTAAGATACTTTGTGTGAAAATGTAATCGGTAGACGACTGACTGTTTTCCGTACTGCTTGTAAACAAAATTCGTTTGTGACGGAAGTTGAAACTCACTTACACGAAGATTCCATACTGAACGAACTGGCACTAATACGACCGATTGTAGGGACTTGCCCGAATGTCGTTAGCTTCGCTTATCTTATCGCGATAACGTTGCTGTTTGCTCTTTCCTCCCCTAAAACTTTTTTTCTGCCGTTCCTTCCACTGTTTTCCCCGTTATCAGCGCCATCGCTCCTTCTTCGCAAAACGCCACGAAACAAGCACGTCACGACACCCTTCATTTTAACGTCTTGTCCTTTTGCAGCAGCTCTTCACCCCACGACAACTCCCACCGCCGCGATGGCGTCCACCGACCCGCTGCTCACAACGCTCTGCAGCGTCTGCCGCACAAACCCGCCGCGCTACAAGTGCCCGCGCTGCAACCTCCCGTACTGCTCCGTCCCGTGCAACCGCCGCCATCGCGCCCGTGCTGGCTGCAGCGGCATCCGCGACGTCACCACATTTGTGCCACGGGCACGGCTCTGCACGGCCGCCGGCATCGACCGCGACTACAACTTCTTGCAGGGCATCGACGTCGCCCGCAACAGCGCCGTCAAGCACGTGGTCGACGAGCGGCGCGTGCTGCGGGCGAACGACGTGCGGGCGCGCGTGCTCAACGAAGACGACCCGGCGGGCGACAACACCACCAGCAGCAAGATGTCCCACGGCAAGAAGGGCCACCAACGGACGCACCACAGTGGACCGGCACTCGTGAAGCAGTGGGACGGCGAGGAGGTGGTCTACCTGCCGGCGCGGCCACGACTGACAGGTGCGGCGGCGGCGGCGGCGGCGGCGGCGGCGGCTGCAACACAACACGGCGACAGCGACGACGATGCCGACGACGACAATGCCGACGGCGACGACAGCGACGACGATACGGCAGCGAAACCAAACGCATCAGCCGCACCACGTATACCCGTCTACGAAGCCGCCACGAGCCACCGCGTGCGAAGCATGTGCCGCCGCGACGGCATTGCGCTGCTGGGCGCCCCGCGCGGGTTTGCACGGCAGCGGGAAAACCACACAACGGTGGCGACGGCAACAGCGACAAGCAAAGACGGCGGACGCGTGACCCAGGTGCACCTACACTGGCAGGTGGAGTGGCTGGTGTACACGAGCAGCGAGGCGGCACCGCCAACGCGGGTGCTGCGGCGGGTGCTCGATGACCTGCCCTTGTACCGGGCGTATGCCGCCCTCCAGACGGCAGAACGGAAGAAACAAGAGAAACTGGGCGGGGGGTTGGTGAGCGAGGTTGGCGGTGTCGGGGAGGCGGAGGACAGCGGCGACGGCGACGACAACGACACCATGGACACCCGTGGCGACGGCGAGGCGGCTGGTCCGTCTCCTCCCAAGAAACAGATGAAACAACAGAAGCTGCAACAGCAACAGCAACAGCAACAGGCCACCAAGACGTCTGCACCGGCACCGACAGCCCCATTTCACAACTCCTTCTTCTACCGATGCGATGTGCAGATCCCAGCAACCGCATCGTGGAGCACGCGCACACTCCAGAGCGGCGCCGACACAGAGACCCGCGACGACCCAGCACAGCGCGCCGCCCGGACCAGTTTCCGCTACTATCTGCTGCGGCCGCGCGTCTCGGGCGTCGCCCACCACGCCCAGGCCAAGGAATTGATTTCACTCGACGCGACGGACACGCTTGCCACGGCGTTGCCCGGTCGCTCCGTCCTCGAGTTCCCGACAATCTACGTGCTGCCAAAGGACGGCGCCGTGCTTTTGCCTCCTGGCCATGTCCTGGGTTCGACGGAACGGCGGCCGCGTGCTGCTCCATCGCCGCCGCCGCCACCCCACGCAGGGCGGCACGGCAAGGCACCCAATGGGCTTTTCAAGCGGCGGCAGAACGGCGGTGGCCCGGACACGCCTGCGGCAAAGAAACGAAAGACGGCCGAAGCGGAAGGAGGAGCCGGCGACGACACCGGTTCGGCTGCGGCTGCTCCCGCGGCTGCCGAGCTGGAGAGCGAGACCAGCAGCAGCGGGTCAGACAGCAGCGACGAGGCGGGCGAGAGTGCAGAGGAGGCGGAGGAGGCAGCGGCCGGCAGCCTCCCGGACCTGCTCCATGGCCTCGGCAGCGCAGGCTCGTTGCCGTCGGACGGAAAACCCAAGTTGGTTGTCTACGACTCGTGGTCTGAAGGATCAGACGAAGAATAGGAGCGTTGCTTTTGTTGTGATTTACTAGACGGCGGCAAAGCTACATCCATGCAGACACATCACCAAGAGATAGCCTCAACGCCTCGTTTCGAACCGTGGAATCACGTCTTGTAGACAGCGAATGTGTATATGAAAAAGTCACAATCTGTGCTTTTTCTCCATTTTTTTTAATTGTTTGTCGTTGGGTGTTGGTATCATATAGTTGCTGTTGCCAAAGGACGAGAAAAAGAAATCAAGAAACTCCTTATTTCATCCCCCGCGAGAGGCAAGGCTTTGAAGATATAGAGAAAACAAAAACGGGGTAAAAATCAAACAAGGACAAAATAGGACGCCCGATCGCTTCATGTTTTTTTGTCGTTCCACTCTCCACGTCATCAAACAGCCGTTCCATACAATAGAAAGACCTTCCTATCCGCCTTGCCTTGCCCACAACCAGCCCCTGCCAGTTTCCCAGTGAAACGTTGCAATGATAGTCGTACAAGGAGGGAATCATGAGAAAATGCAAGACCCCCAAAAACCATGAAATGACAAAAGGAACAAAGACGCGAGAAACGCAAAAACGCGCAAAAGCAACACAGAACGAGCCAAGTCGTTGGCTATCCCATCCGATCCGATCCCGATACGAGTAAAAGTGGGAATTGGAGTGTGTGACGATGCGAAAAAGAAAACAAGAAAACAAGGGCTCAAAGGAGAAGCAATATGAACAGCACCGAGCAAACAGCAAAAGCTTTACTGCTGCTGCTGCTGAGGCTGAGGCTGAGGCTGTTGCTGCTGGTTGTTGTAGTCATTGTTACGGCGGTAGCCGCTGTTGTTACCACCACGGCCCCGGTTGTAGCCACCGCGGCCACGGCCACGGCCACGACCCCGGTAGTTATTGCGGTAGCCGCCGTCGACGCTGCCCTGACCGAACGTCTCGACGTTCTTGCGCTGCTCTTCGCCCCGCCACTGGGGACCACCCGGGCGGCCACTGTTGCTGCTGGCCGCAGCAGCACGGTCTTTGGCCTCACTCGATATGTTGTCAAAGAACGATTTTGTTTTGCTGTACGCCACGGGCGCGTCGCCCCCCTCCGCATCGGCCGGGGCGCCCGATTCCGATGCTTGTCCGCTCGAGACACCGGTCGTGGCAGCGGCATTCACGTCCGCCTCAAAGTTGCCGCCAGCAATGGCCTCCTTGACCACGTCGTCTTTGTTGAACTTGGCGTTGGCCGAGGCGAAATCAAACTCCGCATCCGGTACCTCCACTTTGGCCGTGCGGGGACCGCTGTAGTGACCGCCACGGCCGCGTCCTCTGTACTGGTTGTTGTTGTAGTTGTGGTGGCTGGCATTGTAGTTGTTCTGGTTGCTGTAATGGCCACTCGTGTTGTTGCTGTAGTTGCCCTGGTTTGCCTGGGCAGCAGCATTCATGCGCATCTCGTCGACCTTGCGCGTCAGGTTGTCCAGAGCCGACGATCCGCCGGCAGCAGCAGCAGGGCTGGCCTGCGGCGGTTGAGCAGAGCCAAGACCAGCCATGGCTCTTGCGACGGCGGCCTTGGCAGCCTCTGTTGCAGACTGAATCGAGGCCCCTGGTGCCGACTCTGTCGTTTTGGTGGAAACAGCAGCGGCAGTCGTCGTTTGCGTCGTCGTCTTGTTCACCAGGCCAGCGGGGAGCGGGACAATCGGGGCTATCCGGGTCGCATTCTTGGGGCCAGTAGGCACGGGGCCAGCAGGGGCCTCGACGGGTGCAGTTGGCGGAACCGCCTTGCGGACGTCGGCGCCCGGGCCAGTCGGAGCACCTCTGCTAGCAGCAGAGGGTGGCTGACCTAAAGACTTCGGCTCCAGCTCCGCAGGACCAGGGGTAGGGCCTTTGGGCTTGTCAGCCTGGGTAGGAGGTGCCGGGCCACCTGCAGCAGGTTGCTGCGGCTGCGGAGAGCGACCAGGAGCGCCAGGAGCGCGAGGACCGCTGGGGGGGCCGTTGGGACCAGGTGGGCCGTTGGGTCCAGGGGCAAACTGGGGCGGGCCCGGGTAGAAGTTGTTGTTCCACTGAGGGCCGCCAGGGCCGAAACCAGGTCCTTGTGGAGGGTACCATCCGGGAGGCGGTGGGTATGGGGGGTTTCCCGGAGGCGGACCATTGGGACCCCAGCCACCAGGGGGGACAGGCATGTTGGGAGCGAAGCCTTGTGGTGGTGGGCCGCGCGGCGGTCCTTGGGGAGGGCCTTGGGGAGGGCCTTGGGGGGCGCCTTGGGGCGGACCCTGTTGGTACTGTTGTGCGCCGTTGTTCACAGGACGAGGACGAGCCTAGCCACGAAAAGCATCCGAAGACGCAACTGTCAGCCAATGTGATTTCAAACACAAAAACAAGAAAAAGTAGACAAGAAAAAGTAGTCAATAGCAAAGCACGGCCAAGGGGCGTTTCGCCGGATCAGAAGGAAGGCAACGGAAATATCAACATGGGGTTGTTTGCGCAATTCAGACAAGTATGTTTTTCATCCGAAAATGTTTCATCATAAAGGCCGTCGTCCCCTTGGCAGGTGCTTCGAGCATGGGACGCAATGAAAAAAAAAAAAAAAAAAACCTCAACCAAGGATCGCTGGGTCGTTTGGCACCTGGGCGGGCGGTGCAGAGTTACCATCCTCGATACGGAGGTCCTTCACATCGGTGCCACGAAACACAATGTACTCGTAGATCTGGTCGGCGGGTGCAATCTCGTCTTCGGGCTTGCCTTTGCGGCCTTCCGTGCCGTACGAGACGACATTTTCGAGCGACACGGTCGAGTCCTCTGAGCTGATGCTGTGCAGAATGCCAGAGTACCGAATGTCACTCTTGGAAATGAGGGAGATACGGGCTCTATGAAGCGAGACGCAGGATGTTAGCAGCTATATCAGGTTATTGTATTCTCGAGCAGAACGTAAAGCCATACCCTAAAAAGTCCGACATGATCGCGGGCGGTTCACGACACAAGTAGGAGAAGCAAAAGAAGCAATTGATAGAGCCAGGCACCAGCGTGTCAGCCAGTCGTCAAAACGAGGGTAAGAGGCCAGCAGGGAAGGTGATATAGAGAACGTGAGCAGCGCAGAGAGATAGAGGAGAGATGGAGGTAGAAGAGTAGTGGAGAGGTAGAAAAGTGAGAAAAGAGGAGGCAAATGTGTGCCGGGATGCGGTTGGAGTGCGAGAAAATCAAGGGAGGGGAAATGAAATTGCGAGAAGAGGGAGAGGAGGACGAGGAAGGCGGTAGATGTAGAAATGTGAGGCAGAGAGGTCGGAGGTGGTGAGAATGAGGTCGAAAGAAAAGAGAAAGTGAGAAGAAGCAAGAAAAAGTGGGAGGAGAAAGCTGTGAGGATTTTTGCACGTTTTGGCGGCTGGCCCGAAAGGACGGTCCTGAGAAAAGAGAAAATGGCAGGAACGGTGCGTGGTTGGTGGGAAGCTCCTACCTACGCAGAAGAATTGCAGCAGGAAGGAAGGAGGCTGGCCAGTCTAGCCACGAACAGTGTCCCGCCACTGAAGCCCCAGCACGTGATGCAGCCGATCCGCTTTTCCTGAAGCTTACCGCCCCGCATTATTGCAGGGCAAGCTCTAAGCTACAGCGCAATAGGTAAGAGTGTCTACAGATCGCCTGGATGTCGATGTCAACGTTGACTTCGGTGCGGGCTGTTTCTGCATGGTACGGACGATGCGAGCTGTCTCCAATCGTTCGAGCTGCCTGCCCTGTCGTTCAGCCCTTTTCTCCAGATAGACTGAATAATGCACACAGTCTCCCTCGAAAGGGTATTGCGTTGACGGACAGTTTCGTTGCAAATCATGCCGAGTCAAGATGTCGAGGCAAGCGATGAGAGGAACGGAATACAGGTTTGCAGTACAGCAGTTGAGGAGGTGGCGTTGGCTTAAACTGTCCGAATTTGGCCTGACTGGACTGCCTTTGTCTTCATACGAGAGATCCATGTACCACGCGGACGTTTACAAGAAAGCAGTCAGGCTGTTCACACAAAATCATTCAAAAACTGTAATCCAGAATGTATTGCCGTGGTAGAGGAAATAGTAGAAAGCAGTGTGTCCCAATTTCTGTTTCTTGGTCGTAAATGCATAAACCCATGATAACCGTTGACCGTGACTGCAAAAGCAAAACCGAAAGGCGATAAGCGCAGAGAAAAGAAGACAAGTCAAAGAGAAGACAACAAGAAATACAAGACGAATAAAAGACCAGCCGCAAGAAAATGAATAGGGGTAAACGAAGAAGAAAAAGACGCTGAACAAATATAGGGCGTATGCCAAAATGCCGTCACCAAAACCGCCTAGCGCGACTGTCAAAGGTCCCTCTCTCCCGTTGTATCATGCCGCCACGCTCTTGGTCATCTCGCCCCACCGGAAGCGCCGCAGCGTGCTGCCCGTCGACGAGCGCATAATCTCGCGGCCGCAGGCGGTCGACGCAGACGCGGAGCCGTTGGCAGTGGATGCCATGGCCAGCGACGACGACGACGACGCCGCCGACGCCGCCGCTGCGGCCTCTTGGCGCCCGACCTCGCGGCCAATGACAAAACCAGCGCCGAAGCCAACAACCGACACAAGAACAACAACGCCGGCACTGACGACCCAGGTCAGCAGCGTCGGGCTGATCATCGTGACGTCGGCAGCGGCGTCGGTCGTAGCGGCGGCGGCGGCGGCCGACGAGGACGAGGTGCGCTTTTTCTTGGTGACGCGCGGGGACGACTTGCTGGCGCCGGTACGTTTGCTCTTGCTGGACGCAGAGACGGCGCTGACGGCGCTGTTGCGGGACGAGTGGTGTTGGTGCTGTTGTTTGACAGGGGCCGCGGCGGCAGACGGGCGCGCGGCCGCTTCGGTAGTGGACGGCACCTGTGGAGGCATCCGGGGCGGCCGGGGCGGCTGGGGCGGCAGGAACGGCGTACGGGTGCGTGGCGACACGGAGGCATCGTCGTTCGCGTCGTGGTCGTCGTCCATCAGCTCAGACTCGGGCACGAGACGCAGACCCATCGGCTGGTTGCTCGGGCAGAGGCCAGCGTTGGTCGCCGCTGTCGTTGTCGTCGTCGCTGCCGTTGTCGTCGTCGCTGTCGCCGTCGATGCCGACGGCGCCCCGCCCGTCCGAACACTGCTGCTCTCCGTCTTGGGCAGACGCCGTGCCGCCGCTGCGCACGACAGCAGCGTGGTCAGCGACGCGCGCAGAGCCTCATCGTTGTCTTCGCGGTAGGCCGGGGACATGAAGCTGGGTGCCGAGTTGCGCGCGGGCCGCGACGACCGTGGTGCATAGGGCCCGTCGCCGGCTGCCATGTGCGGCGGCATGTGCGACAAACGGGGCGTGGGCAGCGAGCGGTGCGACGACGGGTGCTGGAGGTGGGTGGGCGGATGCGAGAAGGCGTTGGGCTGTGGCCGGAAGGTGGGCGGGCCAGACGAAGGCATACCGAGGGCCGTACCCTCGTCGTCATCGTCGTCGCCGTCTTCTTCATCGTCGCCGTCGCTGGCGGCCGCCCTCTGGCGCAGACGAGCGTCGGCTGCTGCCTGGTACGGGAGCAGCGTGTAGCTCTGGGCGGGTGGGCGGCCGGCGTCGAGGTCCAGCTCGAGGTTTTCGGCCGAGCTGGACAGGACGCGGTCTTCTTCGCTTTCGGTCTCGTCGTACTCCTCCTGGCTGCTGCCGGCCGAACTACGGGGGGCAGCAGCGGTGGCGGCGGCGGTGTTGGACGACGACGACGCAGGATGCGTGGTCGGGTGTGACGTGGGCGGTCGTGTCGACGACGGTGATGAGGGCGACAAAGGACCGCCGGCGGCCTCGACCTGCTGCAGAAGACGCCGTCGCCGCTGGGGCGTTACGGGCATAGCGCCGCCGTTAATGCCAGTCGCGCCACTGCCAACGCGCAGGCCGGTGATGACGATCTCGTCGGCGATGGACGACAGCGACGAGGACGACGGCTGCGAAGCGACTTCGACCCAGGACTCGACCGTGCTGGTCATGTGGCTGTTGGCGGCGGACGTGGAGACGTTCATCGTGTTAGTTGGTGGGCCGTCAGCGGGCCAGAGAGGGTCCCTTTGCGTTGGCGGCGCCATAGTGGATCCGATTTAGCGATAAGGGGGCGCGAGGTGGCGATGGCGTGTACGTTGTAGTCGAAGAAAGGAGTCCCTGGAGAAGCCGGAAATGTGTAGATGTGTCTATGTGGCAGAGAATGTTCAAGTGGAAGATGATCAAAGTCTCACGGGGCCCAGATCGTGACAGATGGAGAAAAGGGCAGGCGCGCGTTGGGTGTGTGTTGGCGTGGGCGGAAAGAGGCACCCCGTGTCTGAAACGCCCTGCGCGCGCAGTAAACTTGGTATTGTTGGCACGGGGCGCACTGGTCCAACAAAATGTGGGATGGGAAGGCGCGGCCTGCGCTGTCAAGAACGGCAAGAGTCGTATGAATCGGTAAATCGTGACGAAAACGGAAAGAGCGACTCGGTGAGCGAGGGAGAACGACGGAGAGACAAAAGAGACACGACGTCGTGATTTGTACGAGTCCTCTTTGAACGAAATGCGACTGTCCGTCACTGTGTTGTTCCAGATGAATCCGTCGCAATAAGCTTTGGGGGCCTTGGGGGCCTTTTGTTCCTTTGGTGCTCTGTAAGAGTCGCTGGCGTGAACCCCGCACAGTTTGTTCGCTGTCCTGCCAAATGGGTTCGTGACCCGGTCCGGTATTGATTAGACTGGTTGCCCTTGCTGGCAGGAACTCTTTGGAATAGAAATGGAAGTGAGCAGCGTCTTCGGAGGCAAGCGCGAGGGAGGGGCAAGCGAAGCTGAAAGGCACGGCAGGCACGAACAGCAAGGCGACGGTGTGGAGTTGGACGGTTTTGGCAACTGCCCACTTGCTGATCTGAGATGCGGTGGGAAACCAGGAAAGAAAAGGAAGGAGAAACAACAGGTGCAACGGCAAGAGCGGAAGGAAAAGAAGGAAGGACTATGAAGATGGCAAAGACACAAAGACAGAAAGAAGGACAGGGAGGCCAAGACAGCCAAAACGGCCGCGATCGTTCACTCCACAGGCCTAAACGGCCTAAATTGCGAATGCGGCGAGGTAGGGTCTTTGGGCAAGGGGCAAAACTGCCAAGAGAGCGACTGTCGGTGTCGGAGCCGTGTTTTTACGCCCTTTCTTTGTTGGCGTTTAGCAAGGCCTTCAACATCAAACGGCGGAGGCGCCAGGAACGAGAAGGGGGAACAGTCCCGGGTTCCGAGCCAGCGCCGCCATTAAACTGGTGTGGCTGCGGAAGTACGTTTCCAGAAAGGGCTGGAGGATGAGAAACGTAGATGGACGGGGGAAGCCGGGTTTCCGTATTAGTTATGACAACGTTTCGTCAAGGGTAATGAGAGAATTACAGAATTGTCGAATGAGGCTGTTGGATTGGTTTATTTGACCGCTGGAGAGCACTGCCAAACGCCAGGTGCCATATTTTTCATTTCATTCAGCATGCCGTTGGTCGCCCTGCACAATAAGCAATGGACGTCAAGTGCTGTCAGGATCCTTGTTGCAAGGCTGAAAAGTCCGTGGGGCATGCGAGTTGTGGGTCACGGCCAGCCGTGAGGCTATGGATGATGGCAGTCTTGCAGTATTACTTTTGAGCGGATGACGCAGAGTATGGATTGACTGACCACTTTCAGAACTCCCGAGCCTTCCTTCGGTGGACAGGTTCAACCGGATCTTATTGATGATGGACAGATGCGGCTCTGTTGGCTGACGGTAATACTGCCACATCCTTGTATGCACGTGAGCTACGAATTGCGCTGGACTGCAACAACAATGCCACTTTTCGTGTAGCTTCGACAGTGAACGTTTCTCTTCGTTCCCTCGCTGTACTTTCTTCTTCTTGTTTCTCTCTGCAAGTCACGTCGTGTGGTTGACAACACTGCCGCAGTGTAAGTGGAGCATCGATTGTCCCACCACTGCTGCCTGGTGGAGGCTCTGCAGGCACACAATGTCGATGCATATTTTCAGGCGATGCATTAGATCACGGGGCCTTCTTTTTGAATAGAACGGAGAAAATACGAGGAGACCGCAAGCCAATTAAATGTTTACAAGTTCTACGTTCATTTTGACTTTTCGGACGTCTTACGTCGAGGTTGGAATGCTTTTTAACGCACTTCAACGGCATTCGGATGTACCCGATTAGGACTAGATGGCGTTCTCCTTTCTTGTCTTCGTGTACGGATTATTTACTGTATCATTTAGAGCCATATCGTGAAGGATGCCTGCACAAGGCTGCATTGAGTGGGTCTCGAAAGAAGCGGAATAAAACAATGCTTTTCTCGTGATCGAACTCGAACGAGATTGGTATCCGTGGTTGCCGAATTGTTTGTTTTCTTCTTCTTTTCATTTACTTTCTTTTATTTAAAAAAATAAAAATAAAATAGAATCATTAGCCCTTCTTCACAGCACCGTCATCCTAGTACTCGGTCATTTACTGTGTGGGAGTGTGGTTTCTGTCCGTGACTCTTGTGATTGTGTTCATTGTGCAATTCTGCGATGGCTGTCTTCATTGACGCCATCCGTGTATAGCCTGACCACATGCCACACTCCATTTCGGGCCTCCGATGAGGCGGTATGACAGAGCTCATTGCTATTGAGGCGGCTATGTAACCATACAGCCAAGCGAAACTATTTGAGGACAGAAAACAGAATTGTAAATCCACGTTGAAACGCACAAATACCATGTGCGATTGGCCTTGGTTATGTATCGAATCCCAGAAGAGCGTTGAAAAGAACAATCGAAAGACGGTCGTGCACAAGAAATGATCTCTGGCCGCATTGGTAGTGGGCCAGAATAAAGTGCTCTCCTGCGGCTGAATCACTGCCGGACGTCCGTCACTTTGGGAAGAAAGGCCGCAAATTGAGCTGAGCACGACAACGAGAAACTTTGTCTGTGTTGCCCTTTTGTCCTCGTGGTGGCGTCGGCGGGCCTAGGCCTTTGGAGATCCATGTCGTGTCTCATTTTTCGGTGGGTGGTAAACAGCAAGTAAAGACACATCATGTCGTCACCACGAATGTAAAGACGTAAAGACCGAGCTACGTCGACGAGAGACAATACACAAAAGAAGCGAGTCGCCACCCTTCTGACGGGATTTTATTTATTTATTTTCTGCCCTCTCTGTAGAGCCAACTCTCTCCTTCTGGCCACAGTCAACATGCCTCTCCACACACTCCGCGAGCTGGACCGCACCGACGGCACGGTCCAGCTCCGACAGGTCCATCACCACCATCATGACGCTGCATCGCCGTCCACATCGACCGACGACCTGGTCCTCGTCCCGCGGCCGTCGCCCACCGACCCAAACGACCCGCTCCGCTGGCCGCCCTGGAAGAAGCACGTGGCCTTTGGGTCTGTCTGCGCGTTTACCTTCTTGACCAACTACGCCATTGGCGGCCTGGCCCCGGCGTTTTACATCTTGTCGCTCGAGTTTGACAAGACCATGACCGAGACCAGCGCGCTGCTGCTGTGGCCGATTCTGGTGCTTGGCGTCTTCAACTATGTCTGGGTGCCGCTTGCCAACTACACCGGCAAGCGGCCCGTCTTTGTGTTTGCGTCGGCGCTGCTGTGCGCCGCGTACATCTGGGGCGCGCAGGCCGCGACGTTCGACTCGCTGCTGTGGTCCAACATTGTGGGCGCGGTGGCGGGCAGCACGACCGAGGCGCTCGGGGCCAGCACCGTCAACGACTTGTACTTTCTGCATGAGCGCGGCAGCCGCATGGGCGTGTACATGAACAGCATCGCCGGCGGCAACACGGTCGGGCCGCTGGTCTGCGGGTTCCTGGTGACGTCGCTGAGCTGGCGGTGGCACAAATGGATCGCGGCGATCTTGACGAGCCTCAACTTTCTGGCCGTCCTGTTTTTCGTGCCGGAGACGCGGTACCTGCGCGACGCCGACCAGAACATCGGCGCCGGCGCGAGCGTGGACGACGTCCACACCCGTGTCCGTGTCGGTGGTGGTGGCGGTGAAAAGACGTCTCCGTCGGTGGGTGTCGCCCCGGCGACGACTTTGACGTGGACCGCGTCGTCGGCGGCCCCGGCCGTCCCCAAGAAGACGTGGCTCCAGGAAGCCCACCCATGGTCCGGCATCACCCCCGGCACGTCCCTACTGCGCATGTTCGCCCGCCCCTTTCCCATGTTCGCGTACCCCTGTGTTGTGTTTGCCTTTTTGGGCTACGCCGTCGCCCTCGTCCTCACCGTCGCCGTCAACATCTTGAACTCGTTTGTCCTGCAGGCCCCGCCGTACAACTGGTCGCCCTCCGTCAACGGCCTCATCAACATCCCCGGCCTCCTCGGCAACCTGCTGGGCGGCTGGGCTGGCGGCGGCCTCGTCGACCACTACTGCGACTGGCGTCTGCGACGGCGCGGCGGCGTCTTTGAACCAGAGAGCCGCCTGGTCTTGCTGGTGCTCCCGGCCGTCATCACCGGCACCGGCTGCCTGCTGTTCGGCTTCGGCGTCCAGCAGACCCTGCACTGGACCAGCCTCTTCTTTGGCTACGGCATGGTCTCCTTTGCCCTGACGGCCGTGCCCACCATCACCATGGCCTATGTTTCGGACTGTCTGCTGCCGGTCAACGCGGACGCCCTCATGCTCGTCAACGGAACCAAGAACGTCGTCGCCTTTGGCTTTCTGTACGGCATCGTGCCCTGGGTCGCCGATGTCGGATACGCGGCCTGTTTCGGCGCGCAGGCCGGCATTTTTGTCGCTATAATCGCCATAGGTGCCCTGCTGCTGCTGTACTTCGGTGCCGCCATTCGCCACCGCCAGGCACAATGGCGGATTATCCTTTAGGCAGGGTGCATGGCATGGGCGGGCGTGCTGGCTTTGTTGTTCTTTTGCATCTGTTTCGTTTCAAAGTGACCAAAGGCAATATGGGCGGAGCACGTCTTTTAACCCAGATTAATGCATCAAAGTAGGCAGATGACAATACAAGAACAGTCGTGAATCGTATACAAGAAGTCAATTGGCCGGTTGGGACAGATTTAACTAATGCTGCATGTCGTATGGTTGAGGTTGTTGACCGTTGGCGTTGCCAACTCGTGGTGATAAAAAAGTGGAGTCGCTGTAACCAGTACGATTGGCTCACCGCCTAATTATTTTGTACGGCAGAAAAAAAAGTTTTGGAAGCTTCAACTTTTGGCCAATTTTTCTTTGACACTGCCCCGCAAAAAGACAACAAGAGCAGCCGACAACCACCCCATACTGCCTATGCCCTTCGACTTGCACCAATCCCATACCCTCCCGCAATGCCTTCCAAAAGAAAGGCCGAGCCTTTTTACGGCCGCACGATTGAAGATGACGAGGACATCTCGGACGAGCAGTCGGACAGCGAGGACGACGGTCTCCCGGCACACAAGCGGCAGCACATGAATCCGGACTTTGTGTGGGACGGCGACGACTTTGGGTTTGGCGGACTCGGCGGTGCGGGCAATGGCAACGACGACGAGGAAGCGGAGGAGGAGCAGACAAAGGCGGACATGGAGTGGATTGGTGCAGAGCGGATGGTGGACCTGAGCGCGATCATCCAGCGCCGGCGCGAGAAGCGAGAGGCCGAGGCCGGCGAGGGCCAGGCCAAGAAAGCAAGCGGCAAGGACAGCAAGGACAGAAAGAAGGCCAAAGGTGACGAGGAAACCGATGGCGAGGAGGAGGAGAGCGATGACGAGGAGGACGATGGCAACGAGGACCAAGACCTTGATCTCGACGACGACGAGCTGCTTGCCGACGACGGTTTTGGCATGGGCGCCAATTCGGACGAGGAAGACGACGGCGTGGAGATTGGAGCCAACGGCGATGACAGCGACGGCGAGGACGACGACATGGGGGCCGATATGGACGAAGAGCACGCCGATTCGGACGACGGCGAGGCTGCCTCGGACAGCGACTCCGTGGCCACGCCCATTGGCCACCCCGACGACCACGATCCGGAGAGCGACAGCGACGCATCCAGCGACGAGGACGCCGAAGAGTCGGCGCGCCAAAAGGCGTTTTTCGCGGACGGCGAGAAGGAGAAGCTCAAGGCCAAGAAGGGCAAGCAGGGTAAAAATGGCAGCAGAAACGACGGCGATTCGGACGAGGAGGGCGAGGACGGCAACTCGCTGGCGTCCGTGCCCACCTTTGAGTCGATGCGCATCTTCTCGCGGCCCATCCTGCGGGCCGTCGCCGCGGCCGGCTTCCGGCGCCCGACCAAGATCCAGGCCAAGACGATGCCCTTTGCCGTCGGCGGCAAGGACGTGGTCGGCCAGGCCGTCACCGGTTCCGGCAAGACGGCGGCGTTCCTGCTGCCCATTCTGGAGCGGCTGCTGTACCGTCCGAGCAAGGTGCCCAAGACACGCGTCGTCATCTTGACGCCGACGCGCGAACTGGCCGTGCAGTGCCACGCGGTCGCCGTCAAGCTGGCCCAGTTCACGTCCATTACCATGGTGCTGGCGGTCGGCGGCACGTCGTTCAAGGCCACGGAGCCCAAGCTGCGCGCGCGCCCGGACATTGTGATTGGCACGCCCGGTCGCTTCATCGACCACATGCGCAACACGCCGGGCTTTGCGGTGGACGCCACCGAGATTCTCGTGCTCGACGAGGCCGACCGCATGCTGCAGGACGGCTTCGCGGACGAGCTCAACGAGATTGTCAAGTTTTTGCCGCGGTCGCGGCAGACGATGCTCTTCTCGGCGACCATGACGGCGCCCGTCGACCAGCTGATCCGCGTCGGCATGCTGCGGCCGGTGCGCGTCGTGGCCGACAGCGGCGCGCGCACGGCCGGCACGCTGACGCAGGAGTTTGTGCGCCTGCGCGCGGGCCGCGAGGACGCGCGCCTCGGCTACCTGCTGCACCTCTGCACGACGCTCTACCGCGACCACACCATTGTGTTTTTCCGGGAGAAGCGCTACATCCACGAGGCGCGCGTCGTGTTTGGGCTGCTGGGCCTGACCTGCGAAGAGCTGCACGGCAACATCAAGCAGGCGGAGCGGTCGGCCAGCCTCGAGTCGTTCCGGCGCGGCGCCGTGTCGTTTCTGCTCGCGTCCGACCTGGCCTCGCGCGGCCTCGACATCAAGGGCGTCCAGACCGTCATCAACTACGAAGTGCCCAAGACCCTCGACGACTACATCCACCGCATCGGCCGCACCGCGCGCGCGGGCCACCGCGGCGTCGCCGTCACCCTCGTCGCCGAGGCCGACCGCAAGTTTGTGCGCGCCGCCACCAAGGCCATGCGCAAGGGCGAGACCGGCGGGACGGCCGACGGCGGCGCCCCGTCGTCGACCAAGTTTGTCATCAAGAGCCGGTCCGTCGACCCGGCCGCCGCCGACGCGTGGCAGGCCAAGATTGAGGCCCTCGAGGACGACATCGCCGCAATCATCGAGGAGGAGCGCGAGGCGCGCAAGCTTGCAGTGGCGGAGATGGAGGTGACGCGCGGCGAGAACCTGCTGAAGCACAAGGACGAGATCCTGGCGCGGCCCAAGAAGACGTGGTTCGAGACGCCGCGCGAGAAGGAGGCCAAGAAGGCCAAGGAGGCGGCGGCGCGGCGGACCGGCATGGACGGCGCCGGACCCCTGTCCGACGCGAAGCAGCAGGAGAGTGTCGAGCGCTTGCGCGACAAGCTCAAGAGCAAGCGCGTCGGCGGCAAGCTGAGCAACAAGGACATGAAGAAGCTGGACAACAAGGCGGACCGGCTGGCGGGCATGGGCGGCAAGAAGCTCAAGCAGGAGAAGAAGGCCCTGAGCAAGCCGGGAAGCAAGCCGGGAAGCAAGCCCGCCGTGGGCAAGCCTGTGGGAAAGCCTGTGGCAAAGCCCGCGGCCAAGCCGGCGGCGGCCCGTGTGGTCAAACCGGCCACGGGTGCCCGCGGCGCCAAGGGTCCCAAGGCCTCGCGCGGCGGCGGCCGCGGTGGTCGTGGTGGAAGCCGTGGCGGCAAGCGGTGATGTCTTGATGGCGAGGCTACGTCCTTTTTGGATCGATTTTGTCATTGCATTGCATCCATCATTTTTGTTTTCATTGTTCATAGAGGGTGGCGTCAAAACCGAGTTTCTTTTTTCTTTCCTCATTAAATATAATCACAAGGATCATAGACCATTTTCAATCGTGTACCTGCGTGATCATCATTTCGATATGCTTTTGTGGCTGGAATGCTTCTACATGGGAGACGAGTGACTAAACGAGGAGAATTCGGAGTGACAAAGTAACGTATGAATATATGTATGGATGCATGGGGCCGCACTGGCGTCAACCCTCCTTCAGGGCCTGCTTCACAATGCCAACGGCCTCCACGGCCACATCCTGGCCCCGGCGCCACGTGTAGAGAGCCACGCCCTGCGGGCCCAGCATATCCTGCGCATGGGCCAGCCGGCGGCGCCACATGTCGACCTTTTTGTTGGGCGGCAGCGACTGCTGTCGTGCAGGTTGGTCTGGCCGATCGGAGCGGTCATAGTCGGCCGTTCGCACACGTCGCGGCGGCGGCGGCGGCGGTGCATCGTCGGCGTCCGAGGGCACGCGCGGGCTGCTGCGTCCGCTGTTGTTGGCGGTGCTGCTGGCCGAGCCGACGGGTTTGCGGGGCGGCGGGGGCGGAGGGACAAGGCGCGAGGCGGGCGCGGTGGACGTCGTGGGCGAGGGTGCCTGGGCAGACGCAGGCGGCCCAGCGGCGGTGTTCGGCGTGGTCGACGCGGCCATGGAGCTGCGCAGAGCGAGCGGCTTGGACGGCCGTGGCGGCGGCAGCGGTTTTCGCCCAGTCGTATGGAGAGAGGCAGAGGACGACGAAGCAGAGAGGGGCGGAATCGTAGACGGGAGGGCGTTGCCGGCATCGGTGCTGGTCGTAGTTGAGGGAGGATCGTCGTCAAAGTCAATCAGTGTGCCCATCACAGGGCCTTCTGGTTCCGGTGTCGGTTTCGGTTTCGGTGGCGCCGTGGCCATGCGTGGGGGCAGAGCAGGCCGGCGACTGCTGTCTCCTGCTATGCTAGGGGTGGGCGTCCACGTGGCATCAAAGTAGCCCGGCTGCTCGGGCGTGGTGACGTCGCGGATGAAAATCGCCAGGACGCGGCCGGGGTGGGCGAGGACAAGGTCCGTGTAGACCTCGAGATCGGCCTCGCCGCTGTCGCCGACCAGCAGAAAGCGGCGGTGCGGGAAGTCGCGCAGAATCTTCTCGAGGGTGCCGCGCTTGCGCTCGGCGACGGGCTCGAAAATGCCCTGTAGCATGCCGCTGTACTGCTTGAGGTGCAGCGGCCCCCGGGGCAGGCCGGCCTGCTTGAAGAAGGTGGTCAGCATGGGGAACAGCTGCCAGGGGCTGTTGGAGCAGTAGTGGAACTGGACGCCGAGGTCATGCAGGCTCGTGTACCACGCGCGGGTGCCCTCGACGGCCATGCCGGCCAGCTCCTTGACAAAGGTGTTGCGGAAGATCTCGCGCGTCCCGAGCGCAATGTTGGAGGCCTTGATGGTGTCGTCAATGTCGCTGATGAGGCTGACGCCGCGGTCCTCGACGAGGTCGATGGGGGCGACGGCGGACAGCGGCTCGGTCAGGCTGTTGACGAGGGCGGTCTCGTTGGCGCTGATGTTGGCGGGGGACGAAGCGGACGCGGCCCGCTCGGCGCCGCCGTTGCTGCTGGACACGAGCACGCGCACGTGGGTGGGCACAAAGTCGAGGGCGGCGCAGGTCGAGAAATGGCCGGCGTCCGACGTGGTGACGGTGCGCGACTGCGACTGCGCGTCGTTGTAGAAGAAGAGCGTCACCGGCTGGTCGACGACGGGCGTGGTGAGGAACGGCCCGAGGCGCGCCAGCAGGTTCGTGTTGGCGGCCACGAGCTCGGCCTCGGTCAGCTCGGGCGTGGTCGAGCCGCCGCTGCTGCCGCCGTTGCCGGACAGTGGCCATGACGACTTGGGCGTCAGTTTGCCAGGTCCTGCTGCGGCCGGCGGGTGCGGCATCCGTGCTTGGCGATGGCCGGCCGCGTCGTCCGAGCTGCTGTCGTCGTCGTAGCTGGCGGCCGTCTCGGGCGTCTCGCTGTAGCCGCCGCGGTTGGCGACCTCCTTCTCGCCCTGGCCGCGGCGCTCAATGGCCTCGGCGGCGCGCATAATCTTTTGTGCTTCGCGCGCGTCTTCGCCCGATCCCGCGTGTCCCGCCGGTGAGGCCGTCGCCACGCTGGCGTCTTGTCCCGTCGTGACGGGCGCCCACTGGTTCGGCGCCGGAATGCCACTCAGCCGGCGGGCCAGGCCGATCAGGATGCGGTTCTTGCGCGTCAGCGGGCCGCGGTTGGCCAGGTACAGCCAGCCGTGCACGTTGACGTCCACGACGGCCTTTTCGTCTTCGAGACGCGCAAACTCCTGATGCCAGTTGGGCGTGAGCGGCGCGTCGGGGTGGCGGCCGACCTGCATGCGCTCGGTGGACGAGTCGGTGTCGTCGCCTCGCTCGCGGTCGCGGTCGCGGTCGCGGTCGCGGTCGTGCCACGGGCCAGCGGCCACACTTTTCCCATACTTGCGCACGTGCCGCTTGGCGTACATGGGGAACAGCACCATCTGGGCATCGCCGCCCGTGGCAAACGAGACGTCGGGGAACGCGCCGGGTATGTGGGGCGGCCGGTCGTCGTCCCGGTCGCCGCTCGCCGATCCGCCGTCGCCGTCGCGCGCCGCCCACGACGTGTTGTACTGGTCGCGGATCTCGCTGGCCGCGGCCACGCCGGCGCGGTAGACATTGTTGGCGAGCGCAGCAAAGCGGCGGCGGCGGGAGCCGCGCTCGGCGGCGCCGTCGTTGCCGCTGCCGCTGCCGTTGTTGTACGCGTTTTGCATGGCGAGGGGGAGAAGGCGGGCGGTCAGTTGCTGTTCACGGAGCCGGCGGCGACGCGCGGCGCGGTCCACCACAAACCGGTAGAGACGAGTGTGCGCGCGCTGGCGGTAGCGAGGGAGCGTCTCGAGACGGAAGCGGACGTAGCGCTCGCGGAGAGGAACGCGCGGCGGAGGACCGAGGGCAGCTGTACTGCGGGCAGCGCGGTAGCCGGCGAGGAACGAGGCCTTGGAGCGGAGGAGGTGGCCGATGATGGAGGAAGGCGAGGACGCTGTCGATTCTGTGGATGGCGACGGCGGCGTCGGAAAAGACGTCGAAGAAGGCGCTGGAGGCCGTTGTCGGGTCAGGGCGTGAGGATGCTTCCAGGACACAGGCGGTGCGCGGGCGGCTCGAGCACCGCGCTGGAAGAGGCGGTTCCGCCAAAAGGGAGCCACGTTTTCTTTTTCCGCGAGGAGACGGCGGGGGTGGGGGCGGTTGGGGCACGAGGCACGGGTGGACGAGAGATGTAGATGCTGTCGATGCGTTGTTTGCCGTCGGTCGTTGTCAGGTGACCATTGCGTGGCCTTGTGGTCGTCGTGAGAGCTTGCAAAAACGGCAGCTGCGGGGCGACGCAGACATGTGCGAGCAAGGAAGGTGCACTTGGCGATGACGATCACTGGGCAGCTCAGGCGCCCCACTATTTTATTGCTGGAGCCTTGCGGCAGCAACCGCAGGCCTAAGGAAGAGTTTGGCCAGGCGTGGAAGGGCGGCTATCGGTTTAACCTCCACTGTATTTTCGGGGACGCCTAACTTGCCGCATACGGCAGTGGGATCAATATACTTGTCCAATAAATTGTAACTCCTGTTCGCCACTACATTTACGTCAACTAGATGCCGTTTAGATTTTCTTCATTCTAGAATATAATGTAGTATAGTATATGCATGGTATATATCGTCCTCGCTTGTTTGATCGGGTATATCTAGCGGGTTGTTTTGGTTGTGGTTTCATCTCGCTCTCCATGTCTTTCTCACCGATCGTTTCCGTTCAACGTCTCTTACTGGTGGCTCGACTCCCCCGTGACCTCAACTGCAGCAACGAGCTGTGGGGCCTTGCTGTCGGGCTTTTTAGGGGATTCGGCTGCCAGGTCGGGTGCGGCTTCGACGGAGACCGGGTCGGACGCTGTGACGACAGTGGCCGCCTGTCGCTCGTCTTGCGACGGCCGTGACGGCCGTACCGCCCGTGCCGCCAACCGCCGGTCCATTCGCCGGCGCCACGGCTTGTAGACCAGCACGGACCCGACGCCGGCCAGCACAAACAGCCCGCAGATGCTGCCGCCGACAATATCAAAGTGGTCGCCAATGGCGCCGACGCCGTCCCAGAAGGGCCCCGAGGGCGGCGGGTCGGCGACGTTGCCGATGAGGGTAAAGAGCTGGACGAAGCCGATGAAGGCGGCGACGACAATGGTGATGCCGGTCAAGACAATCGAGTAGTAGAGAATGGCCACGGTGTCGCGCGAAAACGTCTTGGACGTGTACAGGGCCATCATGAGGGCGCCGTCCGTCGTGTCGAGCATGCACATGCCGGCGGTAAAGAGCGCGGGGAAGATGAGGATCAGCCACAGGCTGGTGCCCTTGGCGCCCTGGATGCTGGCGATGCCAATGAGGGCGACCTCGGAGCTGGTGTCGAACCCGAGGCCAAAGAGCACGCCGAGCGGGTACATCTTCCAGGGGCGGTCGATGAGGACAAACAGCCGGCGGAAGACGCGCACCAGAAAGCCGCCGCCCTCGAGCTTGAGGTGCGCGCCGGAGTGGGCCATGGCGTCGGGGGCCGTGGCCGCGGCAACCGCATGGGGACCGGCCGGTCGGTCCTCGCCAGCGAGGCTGCGGACGCGGTCGCGTTCGTGCATGTCTGCCTCGGCCACGGCATCCGCATCAGCCTCCGCATCGACATCCGCATCGGCATCCGCACCCACCTCCACATTGTCCCGGTAGGGCGCGAGTGGACTGGGCGACCCGCCGGGGGTGGCCGCCTCTTCGTCGTCTTCGCCGCCAAGCTGTCGATCACGGCGCTCCCGGTGCTCCCGGGGCTTCCGCCACCGCGCGTCCTTTTGCAGCTCCGCCCGCAGCCCGCGCACCAGCCGCCACAGCACCCACGCATTGCCCGCACACAGAATCAGCAGCACCGCCGCCGACACGCTGGTGCCGATGATGTTGCCCACGCGCTCAAACCCGTTGAAACGGTCGCGCAGCGCGCCCGACGTGGCCGCCACGACAACGCACGTAATGACCACAATCGTCGAGTGGCCCAGGCTGAAGAACGTGCCGACGGCGACGGGGCGCTGGCCCGAGGCAATGAGGCGGCGCGTCATGAGGTCGATGGCGCTGATGTGGTCGGCATCGAGGGCGTGGCGCAGGCCGAGGGTGTAGGCCAGGACGGCGGTGCCGGTGAGGCCCGGGTAGAAGCGCAGGACGACGCCGACGACGGCCCACACGACCAGGTTGATGAGAATGAGCAGACTGATGAGGGCTAAGGCGGGCAGAGGCACTGCGCGGAGGCGGCGCGGGAGCCGGGGCTCGATCCGCTGCTGGAGGGCTTTGAGGCAACCGGACGCCATGGACGTAGATGGAGATGGTAAGTTACGGATTCATACGGCGATATCGCAATGTGCGGCGGTCGCTCCCTCCTCCCGGGCGTTTTCGATTTTCTGTTTGGGTCAACTCGCTCGCCCAGTCCCTTTGGTATGTTGGGAATGTGGTATCAAATAAAATACAAAGAAAATAAAATGTGCAAGGGGCCATCAACCAGACGAAAAAAGCAATCACCCGAGTGTCTCTGGATGGGGGCCCTGAATGTTTCTGAAAAACTTTTCCAGGCGGTGTTCTTGGCCATTCGTGTTTTGTCTCCATATCGGTCGATTTTTGACACTTTTTGTGGTATCTTTGACTAACAACCGCCAGTGTCCGATGACGTTGTTCCACCCTCTGATTTCCACTCTGCCTTCCCCTCACCAAGTGCCCAAGAGGAGTAGAGGAGCTATAGATAAGCTTATCCTTATCCACGCTTATCGACGCCGTGTGTCGGCGCCGTGACAAATTGCTCCAAGAGGATGGCTTGGATCTTGGATGCGGCCAGTCATTGACGTTGGCGCGGAAAGGGCTCTTATCAGATCGGGGTGGCTCCTGGTCGCAGCTGCCTGCCCGTGCACCTGCTATTTGAGGACCTCTGCGGCCGCACAGTCAGCACCTGCCCCGCCATCGTAAGCGGCTGCTTCCGATGTAGAGCATGCCGAACATGGCAGAATGCCATATTCAGTGAAGAAAATTGCATAAAACAATCATGGTCTACAAAATCCCATGAACTATCATGCATATCAATGTCAAAATAATAGTGCCAATAATAATGAAAATTACAAAATAAAAACCAATCAAAAACGTCAACATATCACTTGATACATTCGCATTGGTCCACGGAAAGTCAAAACATGGAGAAGAGACATCAAAACTGCGTTGCTTTATTTTAAAGTCGCCTTGGAAAGTCCAACCTCGCATGTCGTGTTTTTCCCTTTCCGTGACAACGGACCCTCGTGGTCCGTTATGTTTATCAGTCAGGGGCATGCCACCTCAGCAATCTCCATTGGCTTCCCATTTTCGCATTGTACTATGGCGTTCTCTGTATGTCTCTGTATGGAGGACGTCGTCCGTTGTAGAGAGTATTGGCTGCACTGTCAATGTTGTCTTTTGCGGCGTTCCCTCCTCCGGTATTCGTATCGTTGTGTCGTACTTTCAAGGTTTAGCGCGTGTTTGCGTCTTTCTTTCGTGCACGCCACTGATTCGACACTCCACAAAAGAGGAGAAGAGGAGAAGGGGAGAGGAGGAGAACCGGCGCGACGTATGCGGCGGCCAGTACGCATATTTCTACAAGGCTGGTCTGGATGCTCATCGCGTCTCGCGTGGAAGGGAGATGAGGTCTAGATCTAGCTCGTTGTGGAGAAGAGTGCGCGTATCCCTTTTCACGTCCGCGCCTCCCCCAGGCGCCTCCTCAAATGCCCTCACGAACCCCCGTTTCGCTAGTCCGCTTTTAGGGGACACGGAGAGGACGAGTCCGGACCTTGATGGGCGGGGCGTCCGAGCTGGAGGATGCTGAGTCAATTAAATGCACCAATGGAGCGTCTTGATTTTTGTGCTTTTTACTCTTTAGTACCTTTTGTGTAAGGAGACTTTTGTTTACTTTGCAACTTTACGCACGATGGTTTTTTTGATGGTTTTTTTGTTGTCTCTGTCTTGGCCAACATGGACTAACTGCAATTACAACTACTATGCCCGAGCTTTCATCCAATCTGTCAACCCAGGGCCTCTGGCCGGGCCAAACAAGGGGGCACATCTCTTGGCAGCGACTGTAGCAATTTCTGTGCCGTCGGATAAGCTACCCACGCGAGCCGTCTGCGAACGCCACATGAAAAAGACAGCAGAGACATACAGAAACAGATTGCGGTGTCCGTGCCGCGACCAACAGCCTGGATATGGAGCATCAATGCCCGGTGTCTAGCAATCTGCACAAGGACGCCAATATGAATGCCCCCTTATTTTAGGAATCAGATGGCGGAAGCACTAGCCCAGCCGAAAGGGCAAGGGGAATGCCTGAACGATGTTCCCCAATCGCGCCGACGAAGGAGCCTGCCAATACGAGACAGGACGCCGCGTTCGAGTTCGAGTGTGCAGGACCTGGGTATTGATTGTGCTCCGTTCCCGCCATTTCGTGAGACGACTACGAAAGTATAGACAAAAAGGAAGGGATGCTCACAGTGATAAAGCAGAGCGAGGGCAAGGAAGATCGGCTATTCTTTCCGATGAAAAAGGTAAAGGAGAGAGGCAAGTCGGCAGGAGATCGCGTGAGGGCGCGAGCCAAAAGAGTAACAGTCGACGCGAGCAGCGCACGAGACACAAAAGACGGCATGACGATCCGCGAACAGGATTGGTTTGAGACCTTGGCGAGAAGACAGGAAAGGACTCTAAACGTATGTCGGTCAAAATAGGTCGCATGCTCGCCTGAAGCCGACGTGTTGGAAGCCGCGTAGACGGGAAGCGGTTGTGTCGCTCAAATGGTGGCACAGTCCGTTGGTATGTCCTGCCAGCCTGTCATCTGCGTGTACGTCTCATACCGTAAGAGTGTAGTACCCTGTCCTCTGTCCTCTGTACCTGCGTACCATCTTTGACCTTTCTGTTTATGGTCCCTCGGAGGAGGGCCGTCCGTGGCCCGGAAAGGCAATGTTCGTGTAATTGGAGACTACAACGACAGCTCGAGGAAGTGGACGTTCATTTTACGTGCAAACTGGGATGAAAAATAAACAGAAAAAGAAATAACGAGGAAAGACATGCAAATACAGTCTTTGTGATGCGGCCCGGAGAGACGCACAGGTTTCCCGCGAGGCCCCATTGCTGAAACATTCGACTGCAGCCGAGAAGACCAGTCTTTTTTTACAGGCTGGCTGCCCATGGCCATAGCATAGACAGAGCTCTGGCTGGGGCGTCCAATATCTGATCGTCATATATTTGTATCCAGCGTCTCCCCGTCTCCTTTCTTGTTCTTGTTCCGTTCTTCTCGTTTTCCAGGTCGCCCCGTCATCAGCATCATCAACTGCACAGTTCCGCTACGACATCGACACCGGACAACAACCAATTATCCTACACGCCACGACAATGTCCACCGAGAAAGAGGAGGTCGCCCAGGCCGTGGGCTTGGAGACGACCGAGAAGAGCCACTACCCGGAAGTGAGCACGGGCACGGGCGAGACGGCGGCCATTGCGGGTGCCCAAGCCCGGACGGTGCACAATGTGAGTGTCGTCTTGTGTCTGGCGTCTTGTGTCTGGCGTCATGTGTCCGTCCCTCTAACAAATTAGGCCGAACTGTATGCTGCTCTGCAGGAGACCAAGATCAAGGCCTGGAGCAAAGAGTCCCGGAAGCTGTACTGTACGTAACTGGGGCGGAGCAACTCACCGTCGAATGCAAACAATGTCGAGACATCCAAGCTGACAACACAGTCGCCATCCTCATTGCCTTTTGCTGTGCCTGCGCCAACGGCTACGACAGTACGTGCCTCCTCTCCGATGCATTGATAGTACACACAATTGCAGTACACACATACTGACAGGTCGACAGCCTCGCTCATGACGGGCATTCTGGCCATGCCACACTTCCAAAACGTGTTCAAAACGGGCACCACCGGCACAAAAGTCTCTGTCATGTTCTCCCTGTACACTGTGTAAGGCATTCTTCTTTCTTCTGTTTTGTTCCCATTAATGTCAATGTACCCCCGTCTCCACCCACTGACCGCTTAGTGGCGCCATGGTCGGCTCTCCGTTTGCTGCCATCCTGTCGGACCGTTTCGGCCGTCGCAAGGGCATGTTCGCCGGCGGCTGGATGATTATCATCGGCATGATTATTGCGTCGACGGCGTCGACGCTGGCGCAGTTTATTGTCGGGCGCTTCGTGCTCGGCGTGGGCATCTCCATCATGACGGTGGCGGCGCCGGCGTACGCCGTGGAGATTGCGCCGCCGCACTGGCGCGGGCGGTGCACGGGCTTCTACAACTGCGGGTGGTTCGGGGGCAGCATCCCGGCGGCGGCGATTACGTTTGGCTGCAACTACATGGACAACAACTACTCGTGGCGCATCCCGCTGATCCTGCAGGCGTTTGCGTGTCTGCTGGTCATCGGCTCGGTGTGGTTCCTGCCCGAGTCGCCGCGGTTCCTGATGGCCAACGGCCGCGACGCCGAGGCGGTCGCGTTCCTGGCCGCGTACCACGGCAACGGCAACGCGCAGTCGCGGCTCGTGCTGCTCGAGGTCGAGGAGATGCGCGAGAGCATCCGCCAGGACGGCATCGACAAGAGCGCGTGGGACTACCGGCCCTTTTTCTTGACGCACGCCGGCCGCTGGCGCATGGCCCAGGTGCTCATGATTTCCATCTTTGGCCAGTTCTCCGGCAACGGCCTCGGCTACTTCAACACGGTCATCTTCAACAACATTGGCGTCACCAGCGTCCCCCAGCAGCTCGGCTACAACCTGCTCAACGCCGTCCTGTCCGCCGTCGGCGCCCTCACCGCCGTCTGCTTCACCGACCGCATGCCCCGCCGCACCGTCCTCGTCTACGGCACCCTCGCCTGCGCCGCCGCGCTCGCCTGCAACTCGGGCCTGTCCGCCGCGCTCGACAAGCAGTCCGCCAGCGCCGCCGGCGTGCAGACGTCCTACGCCCAGGGCGCGCTCGCCGCCTACTTCTTGTTCAACATCATCTTCTCCTTCACCTACACGCCGCTGCAGGGCGCCATCCCCACCGAGGCCCTCGAGACCACCACGCGCGCCAAGGGCCTGGCCGCCTCGGGCATCATTGTCAACGCCGTCGGCTTCATCAACCAGTTTGCCGGCCCCGTCGCCCTCGGCAACATTGGCTACAAGTACATTTACATCTTTGTCGGCTGGGACGTGGTCGAAGCGGGCTTGTGGTATCTGTTTGGGTATGGTTTTCTCTCCTCGCTCGCTTCGCTCACTCGCTCTTCCTTTCTTTCCTCACTCGCTTCGCTCACTCGCTGTTTTTTCCTCGCTGCTCCTTCACCCATGCCTTCTTCCTCGTCGCTTCGCTCACTCGCTCACTCGCTTACTAACCTCTCAGCGTCGAATCCCAAGGCCGTACCCTCGAGCAGCTCGAGTGGGTCTACAACCAGCCCAACCCCGTCAAGGCCTCTCTCCAGGTCGACAAGGTGATCATCCAGGCCGACGGCACCGTCACCGAAAAGGTCGTTTCGTCGCCGTCTGCGTAAATGTGATCAGAGCACAATATTGGAGAGAAGAAGGCCGGAACAAAGGGGGAGAGAAGGCATGGGAGGTCTGGGGACACAGTGTGGGACGATCGACGCCATCATTGGATTGTGAAGACGTGTATGTTGACACATGTAAGCTGCACGGTCGTATTCTGTAATGAGTGGTAATAGGAGTGGTAATAGGAGTGGTAGGTGGCAGTCAATATTTCTCTGAGAATGGACAATTCATGTTGTGTTGATTTGTGTGTGGCAGTGTGCTTGCCCGATTCGGCAATCTTGATTTAGGCAGCCAACCAGGCACTCAGCCCTAATTCGACACCCGTAAGGCCTGACGCCGCTAACGCCCCTAACGCTGAAGCAACATCACAACAAACACGACGGTTTGACCAACATCACAATCTCGTCTCTTTCCACCCACACACTACAAACACATCCACACAAAGACGCCGGGCATGGCCCCCTCCAGACAACAACGTATCCTCGGCGCACTGCTCGGCGTCCATGCCGGCGACAGCTTCGGCGCGGCGCACGAGTTCCAGAGCTGGGACGCCATCCGCAAGAGCTTTCCGCCCAAGGGCCGCATCCCGCGGGCCATCACAGGCGGCGGCCCCTTTCACTGGTCGCCGGGGCATGCCACCGACGACACGGACATGACGCGGGCGGTCCTCTTGGCGTACAGTGAGGCGAACCGGAGCGGCGGCGACACGGACACGTTTCTGTCCGTCAGCCAGGCTGCGGGCCAGCACATGCTGCAGTGGTTTTCGGGCGATGGGTGGCCGGGGCGGCCGGACGGGACGCGGCCCAAGGACGTGGGCGGGGCGACGGCCGACGGGCTGCACCGGTTTGCCCGCCAGGCGAAGCGGGACCCGCGGCGTGCCGGTGCGGGCCCCGGGCGGTGCGGCAACGGCAGCCTGATGCGGTGCATCCCGACGGCGCTGTTTGCGCGCGACCACGTGCGGCTGCTGCAGGAGACGGCGCTGATCTCGGCGATTACGCACGACGACGGGCGGTGCATCTTGGCGTGCGTGGCGTACAACGTCATGGTGCGGGCGCTGGTGGGGGACGACACGACGGAGGCGACGACGCCGGCCGCAGCGGTCCAGCGCGCGCTGGATGTCCTGCGGGACCCCACGACGACCGACGTCCTCGTGGCGGCCCTGACGGGCGACGGCGACGGCGGCCGTCCACCGCCGGACACGACGCTGCGGTCCACGCTCGCCGCCCACCGCGACGAGGTTGTGGCTGCCATCGAAAAGGCCCGCGGCGCCGACTTTGACGTGGGCGTGCTGGCCGACGTCGGCCCGCACAAGGCCGTCCTCGCCAGCGGCGACAAGTGCCTCCGGCTGGCGGGCAACGGCTACGTGCTCGAATCCCTGTCGCTGGCGGTGGCCGCGGTGCTGGACACCCAGCGGTCGTGGGAGGACCTGATTGTCGACGTGGTCCGCGTGGGCCGCGACACGGACACCAACGGCGCCATTGCCGGCGGCCTGGTCGGTGCGCGCGACGGGGTCGACGCCATTCCCGCCGCGTGGCGAGCCAAGCTGCAGTTTCGGCACGAGTTTACAACGTTGGTGGACACCATGGGGCATGAGTAGGCAGCTACAGCGGTTATATTTCTATTCTGTTGTTTTTCTCTTTTTTTTGGTTGTTGTTTCTGTTGTATTTTTTTTGTACTTCTATTTCCCCCACCCCACCGTGTATCCATCTGTCCCTTCGTCGGACCGCGTCACCACGAGCCGGCCGAAATGCGCCTGGATGCCGTCCAGCACCCGCACATTGACCGGCACCACGTCCAGGTTTTGCTGCACCAGCGCCTGCTTCTCCGGCGGCAGCCGCGCCACCACCTCGGCTGGCGGGCCATACACGTGCATAAACACGTGGGCGCCACAGGTCGTGCAGAACGGGTGGCCCATGAACCGCCGCGGGCCGAACTGGTAGTCGCGCGTGTGCTGTGCGGCGCCGCGCACGACGACCTGCGCTTTGCGCGCGTACGCGCCGAGCCAGGCGTTGCGCGTGCAGATGCTGCAGTTGTCTTCCTTGAGGGGCATGTCCTGCAGCGGCGCGAGCAGTTCGACGGCCACGGAACCGCAGAGGCAGGCGCCGGTCGAGGGGAGGAGGCCTGCGCAATCTGGGGGCATCTCTCCCTCGTCTTGATGGCTGCTCTCGTCCGGCTTGGGCGTCTCTGGAACGTAGTCAAACGGGTTCACGTCCCGGATGGCTCGGATGTTCAGCAATCGCTTGCCTATGAGCGGGCCCTTGACATGTGTTCCGAACAGGCCCGTCCCACAGGTTTGGCAAAACTCGTACGTCAGCAAGCCGGAGCGGTACACAGACAACGGCGGAGTGTCGTCTGGAGCGCTGTCTGGCGGTGCCTTCGTCGTCAATGTACCGTCTTGGACAACGTGCCAGATGCAACCTTGCTTCGTGCATGCGACGCAGGTGCACGACACAGTGGGGAGGCGGCTGTGTTTGTCGTCTGTAGTGTCGTCGCCGCCGACCTGCAGCTCGAACCGATGCCGACCGCAGTGGCAATTTCCGTGATACAACATGCTGTGGTGTGTTGGATGGGGAAATAGAAAAAAAGAAGGACGGAAGCGAAACAGCAGGCGGTCCAGATACGTTATCTGTTATCTGCGGCCCAGCATCCAAACGTCGAGCGAGAGACCATCCTGGATCATCCTTTATCATCCCACGTTACTGCGATTGCGGGGAAAGACGGCAAGACACCGCCACCGGCCGACGTTCCGTCTGAGCCGTGCTGGACGTCAGTGTGCCATGTCTGTCATGATTGGTTGTTGAGTGGTTGATGTTGACGGTCTGAAGTCAACAAAAAAAAAAAAGGACCTCACCACACAAGCGATCACGAATTTACACTTTCCTTATCGATGTTTTGTTGATTAGTCAATTTCTTCGCATCCAAAGAACAAATTTGTGTCTGACTGTCGAATATCGGTTATTTCTTGCGACGTCCACGACTCCACGACTTGTCGGGTTAATACAAACGAAATAGACGTGGCCCGGCTGATCAGACCCGACCAGAGCACAGCAATCTATTTATTCGCATCCGTCACGCGCCGCGCCCCATCCCAACACAGGGCGTCATTTAGCCACGGGCTTGGTATGGTTTGTGTCCAGCGGGCCTTTCTGCTGCCAGTGGAACGTCCCAGGAAACGTGTGTCCCGTGTCCGGGCATTGCTTCCACACGTCTGCATACAGACTGTAGCCCAGCCTGGACGTTACGAGTCTGGAGGGAACAATATTGCAAAAGCTTGTTTATTTTTGTCAGCCATCTTCTCGGAACATGGGGACGAAACGGACACTGCAACGTCAATTCACTCAGACGCTACGTCGACGTGCAGCAGCCGTGACGGATGACCGAACTCGTAACTGCGTTCCCTCTTACTGTGCAGCGTCAAGTGTCGCCCGTTCATATATTATGCCAGTAAGTACACAGAAACGGCATACGAACACCGTTTTATTTTATTTTATTTTATTTTATTTTATTTTATTTTATTTTATTTTATTTTATTTTATATTGTAGTTCCTTTCCTCATTTCATCCATTTCGATTTCTTCCATCTGCGCTGTCTTAGGTGAGCAGCCTTTCGAGCTGAGACCACACCAACCTCACCATGGCCTCTCGTCGCCGCCTCTTCGCCTTACTTGCGCTCTTCGCCCCTCTTGTTCCTACCACCGTCGCCGCCGTTGCCGCCGTCGCCGCTGCCGCCGACCTCACCTGCACGTTGACGGTCGCGGCCCAACCCGGCGACACCTGCGCATCTCTCGCGGCAACATGGGGCATCTCCGTGACGACATTTCTGCAGAACAACCCGGGCATCACGAGCTGCTCCAAGCTGGACGTCGGCGGCAGCTACTGCATTGATGCCGATGCCCATTCTGGGTCGCCACCTGCGACAAAGCCAACCACAAAGCCAACGACTGTCAGCACAAGCAAAGGCGGCAGCCCGACAACAAGCAGTGGAGGCGGAAGCACAAGCACGCCACCGGCCGCGGGCGGCACAGTCAGCACCGACGGCACATGCGGCACGGCCAGCGGGCATGCCATCACCTGTGCCGGCTCGTCGTTTGGGTCGTGCTGCTCGGCGCACGGCTGGTGCGGGAGTTCGGCGGACCACTGCGGTGCCGGGTGCAACGCAGCGTTTGGCAGCTGCAGCGGGGCGCCCGGCGGCGGAAATGGGAACGGAAACGGAAACGGGACGGCGACCACCGCACCGCCAGGAACGACGTCACCGAGCGTCACAGAGATTACGCAAGTGCACACGGCCTGGACGACGCTGACGACGACGACGACCGTCACCAACACGGCGTATGCCACCAACACGGCCGCCGTCACAAAGACAGAAACTGCCGTGGTCACCAACACAGCGGTCGTGACCAACACGGCCGTGGTCACCAGGACGACACTGTTCCCAGTCACCACGACGCAGACGCAGGTCACCACGCAGACGCAGGTCACCACGCAGACGGTGCAAAACACCCACCTCATCACGCGCACCACGACCGCCACACAGACCCGCATCGACACATCCGTCATCACCACCATCACGACCATCACACTCGTGCTGTCCGTCACCGACAAGGGCCGCGTGCCGGGGCCGACCTTGTCCTTGACTCTGGGTCCCCGGGACGCGGCTGCTCAGCGCCCGACACAACCGACAGATCCAACCGCAGCCGCACGGGTAGAGGAGGCTTGCTGTGGCACGCAGACAATCTTGTGCGCCGCCACGACGCCGGGTCTGGCCGTCTCCGAGCAGCGGGCCGTGGCGTCACTGGCCAGCCGGGCGGCGCTGGCGATGCCGGGCATGGATGTCTGCTGCGGGGTGCTGTACAATTGCGGGAGCGCATGAGGCGAGCATGTGTAGAACGGGGATGTAAACGGTATGGACCTTCATATACGACGGAACATCAAAGTGTTCGTACTCTGCAGAATTAATACAATTGTTTTATTTCAGCGCCATCCGTCCTCATGGGCACTTCGCTGTTCCTTCTGTGAGTTGAGATGGAAGGTCATATTGTATGCAATGTTTTTTTTTTTTCTCGTTGAAGAAAGTGAATAGAATTCTTACATTTCTATTTTCTATTTTTATTTATATGCGTATTAGCATTAAAGAATAAAAAAAAAACACAATAAATCAACGATGATAAAAGAGACGCATACGCATTGACATGATATCAGAATTAAAGAATTGAAAGTACTTAGTTAATATGTAGCATAGAGTCGTGAAAAACCGCAATGTCTCGCCGTTGAGGTGGAATGGAAATCAAAAGTGCCCACACACGCGCATTCCAGAAACGCCACTACACAAACGACATGCATTCCTGCCACGCAAGTAAACAAAGCGATGGGATGGAAAGTTTACTACAAAATAGAACAAAATCTAGGCAACAAAAAACCAATAAACTTTTCTTTTTGGACACACATTCTAAAGGGTATCTGGACGAGGAGGGAGGAGACAACAAAAACGCAGAAACAGAAAACGAAAATCTTTCAACGACATAAACCAAAGATGAGCGGCGCTGTCATACATCAAATCAACACGAAACGGTCAAGAAACAAGGCGCTTTCCAATACACCGGCTAGACAAAAAACAGACAGGATGAACACAACAAAAAAACAGCGACATTGAAACCGGTGCCGACCACCACATCTCAGCAACAATTCACATCGCCAACAACCACTCTCTTTACTCAACCACACAAACGCTATGCCCAGCCCAGCATCGCGAGCGTCGTGCGCACATCCGCGTTGCTGAGGCTGGCCACGCCCAGGGACCGCACCTGCGTGCCCTGGCGCAGCCGCTGCAGGCCCATGGACACCTTCCAGGCCTCTTCCTGGTCGAGCACAAATAGGAACCGCTTGCCCTCCTGGTCGCGCACGGTCGCGCGCACGAGGTGCAGCCCCTTGGTCTTGAACTCGCCGTTCTGTTCAAATTTAGTACGGGCCCCGGAGTGGGAAGAAGAAGACGACGCAGAAGCAGACGACGCAGAAGCAGACGCAGAATCATCAAATGCAGAGGGGTGGACCGTCTCGCAGAGCCCTAGGCCGCACAGCGCCTTGCACTCCCGCAGCATGTCGGCGAGATAGGCGTCGGCCTGCTCGTCCGTCAACGGCCGCGGCTCGCCGCGCACGCCGCCGGCGCCCGAAAACGCCTTGCGCCAGGCGGCACGCGGCAGGAACGTGGCGTTGTTGACGTTGGCGGCCGAGGGCTTGACAGAATTGATGTGGTCGTTCGCAGCAGAATTCGCAAGAGCAACAGCATGCGCGGGGCACCATACCTCTACCAGCTTCAGGGTCCACGCTTTCACGTCCCATTCGCGCTGGGGGACGCCGCGGACATCGTCGTCAATAAACAGGCCCTCTGTCGTGATGCGCAGGATGAGCCCGTCCGTCACGGAACCCACGCCCGACAGCAGCTGCGACGAGGGTGTCTTGGCAAACTGGTTCAAAAAGCCGTACACCGCGCGGATCACAATCTTGTCGGGATCGTTCGTCGTGTACGGCTGCCGCATCGACGGCGGTGGCGACGTGTGGGCCGTGGAATGAGACGGCGCCCAAGACGATTCGGACAAATCGG